GCCGCACTGGCACAAGAGGAGCTGCGGCCTGGGCTGAAGGGCGTTCTCGATCTTCTCCACCTTGATGTCTATGAACTTCGCCTCCCCCCTGATCAGCTGGTCCAGACTCGTGGGGCGGTTTTCTGGGTCGAAGCTGATCGGTTCCCGCAAGAGCGCCAGGTTGCACCTCTCGATGTTCCTCGCCATCTTGCGGTGCGCGAGGTCCCCCGTGAAGACCACCCCGTCCACAAAGTCCGACTTGTCGAAGCTTCCGCCGGGGATGCGCTTGACCTCGGAGCGGGGCGGGTGGAGTTCAACGGCGGGTCGAGATATCAGTTCCTGGGTCCCTCCCACACGTCCAAACGCACCGGTTTTCTGAGCTGCGCCCAATCGTGGCGGCGAGGCCCACCCCCGAAGGCCAACGACCGAAGCGCCCTGAGATCCTACGTCGCGAACGCGTGCAACATCGCAAAGAATCGCGGCGGGAGCCCCCCCCCACACCCCAGCTTTCTGCTACATGTTTGCGAGCCTGGTCGATCTGTGATGATGGTCTGGGGCCCGAAGCGCCAAACGAGGCAAGCACGCCAGGTGTGACCGCACACCAAAAACCAGCAATTTCCCCCCCCCCCCCCCCTTCGCTCGCCACCCCCTCCTGCGTGCGCGCGGCATGTCTCTTCGGTCGCGGCGCATTGGGCCCCTGCGTGGTGAGCGACAGCGCACAGCGAGCGGGTCCGCCACCCTTCGGGGGGCCAGCCTCCAGGGCAGTCTGCCTCAGCCCAGCGGGCCTCCCCTGTTGCTCTGTCGTGCGGCTGCGCGGACATGTCTCGCGGGCGGCGGTGGGAACGGAACGCTGCTCCACCACGAAGAAGACCATCGCGATGGAATCCTGGGCGCTCTGGCGCACCATGGTCGGCACTTAGGCGGCGGCGGTGGAACGGTGGCCACAAGAACTGTGAAAGGGGATCGGCAACTGCAGGGGCGGCCGCGTGAATTGTCGGATGTGGAGAAACCGTGCCCCCCCCCCCCGCCCCCTTCGCTTGAGTCGGGCCCGTCCTCCTACAGGGGGATCTTGGACGAAACGTAATGAACAATAAACAAAGTGCCCCCACATGGTCCACTAGATTCGAGACATCGCCCCCAGACCATTCTTCTGACCAATCTGGAATCCTCCTCCCGTCGAGGGACACGCCCGACTTCACCCTTCGCTCAGCGTCCATCGTGCGCGCGCGGCCCGTCTACTCGGCCGCGGCGCGCCTGGGCGCCTGCGCGGCGAGCCGCGGCGCGCAGCGGGCCCGCCGGCCGTCGGAGGGCCAAAACCTCGCGGGCGGGCCGCCGCCCGGCCGAGCGGGCCCCCCCCGCTGCCCTCTCGCGCGACTGCGCGCGCGCGGCCTCGCAGGGCAGGAGGTGGGAGCGTCGCTCCACCGAGCAAGAGGACCATCGCGATGGCGATGTGCCCCACGCTCCCCGCGATGGCCGGCCCGCGCCCATGATGGCCGGACGGGCTGCGGGCGGAGGGCTGGCCACGGGACTGGAGCTGCCGTCGCAGCAGCGACGGAGCTTTGACCGGAGGGTCCTTCTGGCTGGCCCTGGGGTGGTGCTTCTGCAGCATGGCGACGCCACCTTGAAATGTAGCCGCCGCCGGGTGCCTCCGCTAGTCTCTCGGCGTAGCTCTGCTGAAGCTGGAGAGCGCTTTCCAGTGGCGCTGCCCTGCCTGAGCGCGAGCGCGGAGCAGACTCCCTCGAGCTCCTCCAGCCGGGCGCCCGAGCTCCTCGACCTGTCTCGACGGCCGCGCACCTCGGCTGCTGCCGGGCCCCGAGTCTTCATCGTCCGAGCCGGCCTCCTTGACCTTGTCCGCGGCAGCCTCGCGACTCGACTCGCCGCGCACAGCGCCGCCGCCATCGCCGCGGCGAGCCCGAAGCAGCTCGGCACCAGAGCGTTCCGAGCCGCCCCGAGTCGGACAGACCCTCGCCAGGTGGACTGGCTCTGGCACCGACCACCGACGCCTCCGCCAAGCCCGGGGGAAGCGGCACGGCCTGCTGAATCCCCTCCGCCACTGCTTGGACGCCCGAGTTATCCGGGGTAGCTCGGGTCCGGGGTAACTCGGGTTTGGATTCCCGAAAAACGAACCCGAGTTATCCCCGACCCGAGTTACCCCTGATGATTCGGGGCTCTGGACGCCCGAGTTATCCGGGGTAACTCGGGTCCGGGGTAACTCGGGCTTGGATTCCCGAAAAACGAACCCGAGTTATCCCTGACCCGAGTTACCCCTGATGATTCGGGGCTCTGAACTGCGGGGACCTTGGCCACTGCCGGCGTCCTCCAGGCTGGGAGCTCCGCGCAGCCTGTCGCGCGGCGGGCCTCCGCCGGGCGCTGGCGCCGACGGGCGGGGCACGTTGCTGCTTCAGTCAGGCACCTCCACGTGTCAAAAAGGACGACCGCATCGCAGACACCCATACCACCATCATTCCTCAGGTACGAGCCCCCGCGAACAGAAGTGAAGAACAGGCGCTGGCTCGCCCGACAAACGCTTCCTGAGTCTTCGCCCTGTCGAGCTCGCCCGCGGCCCCGAAGAACTCCGCCTCGAAGCAACCCCTCCTCGCCACGAAGCGGTCCGCCTCTTGGCCTCAGGGCCATTGGCCGAGACGTCTGCGAACTGCGCCAGCTGCCGGTCACGAAAGACAACGCGGTCCTCGAGCTCGGCCCCAGCCGTGATGCCCTTCCCCCCCGAGTGGCAGACCCGGGTGGAGCCCGCCAAACCATGCCGACAGGCGGCCAAACGCTCGTGGCCCCAGGCCCGCCGCAGACTGCGGCTCCTCGCCGTCAGAGTCGTCGGCTCCCCGGCCGCCGTCGAGCCTCCCCGACGGGGCCGCGGTTGACTCACGACCCGATGCGGCGTCACGGTGCCTTTCGGTCGGGCGTGTCCCCCTATGCAGGCGGATTTGGGGCGAACGAAAAAAAGAATAGCCCCAGAATGCTCAGACACAGCCCAAACAAAAATCATCGAAACATCGTCCCCCGACTATCTCGTGACTGTTTCTGAACCTTCCCCCCTGTAGAGGGACACGCCCGACTTCACGGTACATCCAGCGACCTCCGCCATGCTGCGCGTGCTCGGGCGCATGCTGCTTGCCACTGGCGGCGCGCATAAAAAGGGGGTGGAGGGAGGGGGGAGGGCTTCTTAGAAGGAGGCTGCTTCTTAGAAGGCGCCGGCCTTACATCTGTAGATCAGGGCCGCGCCTTCTAAGAAGCAGGGGCGCCTCTAGGACTCTAAGAATGAAGGGGCCCTGGGACACACAAATAGATACGCACAAATAACAGCACTCCTCATATTTTCGAATATCACCTTCGTTTTTGTCCTCCCCACCAATTCCCAGATTCCCCCATATTTTCTATGGGACCGACGATCAATTGTGTCTGTGTTGGGCGCCCGAGTTATCCGGGGTAACTCGGGTCCGGGGTAACTCGGGTTTGGGTTCCCGAAAAAGGAACCCGAATTATCCCTGACCCGAGTTACCCCTGATGATTCGGGGCTCTGGGCGCCCGAGTTATCCGGGGTAACTCGGGTCCGGGGTAACTCGGGTGTGGATTCCCGAAAAGGGAACCCGAGTTATCCCTGACCCGAGTTACCCCTGATGATTCGGGGCTCTGACTGTGTGTTTTCCCCCTCCTCAAAGGAGCCCTCCCCCCTCCCCCCGCCCCCCCTCTGCGCATGCTGCCTGCCACGGTCAATGGCGGGGGGCGGCGGCGCCCTCGCCCGCCTCGCCCGCCCCTGCGTGCCTGCGCTCGGCTCCATGCCGCCCCCTCTCGCCCGAGAAAGGCCTCGCCTCCGACGTGGGCCCGGCCTCCGCCCGCCGTGGGGGGGCGGCGGCGAGCAGGGCGCCTCGCCGCCGGCGGGTCGAGCGGTGGAGGGATTGCAAAAAAAAAACGAAGGACTGCAGAAAAACGAAGGATTGCAAAAAAAAAAAAAAAAAACCAGAGGATTGCAAAAAACGAGGGATTGCAAAAAAAACGAAGGATTGCAGAAAAACGAAGGATTGCAAAAAAAACGAAGGATTGCAAAAAAAAAACCGAAGGATTGCAACAAAACGAAGGATTGCAAAAAACCCTTCGCTTTTTTGGCAATCCTTCGTTTGTTGCCATCCTGCATGGCCAAGGCCACGCTCACGGCGGTGCTGCCTTTGACGGTGGTGTGGGGGACCCACCTGTGGGCCATCGCGATCCACGCGCTCCTGCCCTTCCCAATCTGCGAAGAGGTGTCCAGCGAAGGCGACGCAGCGGACTGCAGGCAGGCACGGGCCACGCGCTCCCACCATACCGCTAGGTCGGGCCTGTCCCCCTACAGGCGGACTTTGGACGAAAAGTACAGAAATAGTCAAAAAAACATCCCAAATAGTCAAAACAAATGTAGAAAGATCGTCCCCATATTATATTTGGACTATTTTGGAATACTCCTCATGTAAACGGACAGGACAGGACAGGACGGGCGCCGATGTGCGCCCCGGGGGGCGGCCCTCTAAGAGCTCGGCGGGGGCGCCGGAGCGCCGCAACTCCGATGTCGCAGCACGTGGTTGCTTTACGATCTCGAGTGTGTACGATTGGCCCCGCTAGTGCAATCCTTCCCACGAGTTTGAATATGCAGCGTCGTAAAGAGAAGGGAGGCGTTGCCAAAACCTACATTTAGGTCGGGCCTGTCCCCCCCACAGGAAGATTTTGAGCGAATAATTCGGAATACTCCAAACATACTCCAAACTGGTAAACGCAAATACTAAATTATCCCAGTGTGACCCTACCTAGGAGTTGGAGCATCTAGGAAAGCAACATCAGCTTTGCCTTTGCTTTGCTGCTATGCTATGCTATGATATGCTGCGCTATGCTATGCTATGATATGCGTTGCTATACGTTGCTATGCTGCGCTATCCTGCGCTATGTTATGCTATGCTATGCTAGGGGACGATCGGCTGCGCTGTGTTATGTTATGGTATGAATTGCTATGCTATGCTGCGCTATGTTATGATATGATATGCTGCGCTGTGTCATGATATGCTATGCTATGCTGCGCTATACGATGCTAGGCTATGCTATTATATGCGATGCTGCGCTATGCTATGCTATGCTATGTTATGATATGTTATGCCATGATGCGCTCTGTTATGATATGGTATGATGCGATCTGTTATGGCATGATATGTTATGCTGCGCTATGCGATGCTATGTTATGCTATGGTATAATGCGCTATGTTATGCTATGCTATGCTATGGTAGAATGCGCTGTGCTATGCTATGTTATGCTATGATATGCTATGATATGCTGCGCCATGCTATGCTATGGTATGCTGCGCTATGCTATGATGCGCTATGCTATGCTATGCTATGCTATGCTACGCTGTGCTATGCTGCGCTATGTTATGCTATGCTATGCTATGCTGTGCTATGCTATGCTGCGCTCTGCTATGCTATGCTATGCTAATGCTGCGCTGAGCTAAGCTGAGCTACGCTGAGCTGAGCTGAGCTAAGCTAAGCTAAGCTATGCTAAGCTAAGCTCAGCTAAGTTAAGCTAGGCTAAGCTAAGATGAGATAAGCAAAGCTAAGCTAAGGGGGCGCAACTGGGCGGATACTGGGGGAACCGCGGGGCGGATGCCGGGGGAACCGCCCGGGGCGTAGAACACTGCCCGGCCCTTTCAGCTTAGCGAGTAAGAACCCTTCTAGGCAGAGCCTAGGTAGGGAAAAGATCCTCCCCAGAGCATTTCCCTATCATTTTTGAATATCCCTCCCGTAGAGGGGCGCCCCCGACTTCTACCTACCTCGCCGCTGCCTGCGTCGCCATGCGCGCGGCTGCGGACCGGGGCCGGGCGGGCGGTGGCCTCAGCAACCACGGGCCCCCACCGACGGGAGGGCAGGCCGCTCCTCGCGGCAGCACGCCTGCCCGCGCGCGGCGCGGGCGCGGGGGGAGCCGGTGCCCGCGCGGGGGCACCCGCACCGCTTCGGGCCGCAGCAGCTCTGATGCGAGGCGGGGACTCGTCCACGTCCACCGCCTCCTCCTCCTCCTCCTCCTCCTCCTCCTCTTCCTCCTCCTCCTCCTCCTCCTCCTCCTCCTCCTCCTCCTCCTCCTCCCCCTCCCCCTCCGTCTCCTCCTTCTCCTCCTCCTCCTCCTCCTCCTCCTCCTCCTCCTCCTCCTCCTCCTCCTCCTCCTTCTGCTCCTCCTCCGCCGGGAGCCGACGTCCTGGTGCCCAAGCGGGCGGTGGACATGGATGTCTTTCGGCCCCCCGGGGCCCGAACATGTCCACATCCACCGCCTGCCGAGGCTCCGAAAACTGACCCCCCAGGCGGTGGTCATGTAGAAATTCCCGCCTCGGATCCGAGAAGCACCGGGGGCTGCGGGGGCGGCCGCGCGAGTGGCCGGATGCGAGGTGCAGTCCCAACTCACCCTTCCCGTCGTGACCTTCACGTAGCTCATGATGTCCATGTGGTCCCCCTTGGAGGGGTGCATGTGCTCCACCACCTTCTGCGCCAGCTCGCAGATCATGAGCACATGCATTGGGTCCTCGAGCCCGCGGCCAACCTGCGCGCAGCGCTCACGCACCGAGTGGGCGAAGTGCTTCACGTTCGCCTCAGTCATCTGCCTCCACGCCGTCTGCGCGTTGCGCCGCCGCTCGCTGGCAGGTGGCTGATCCAGAAGGGCAAACAGCCGCATCTAAACATGAACTGGCGGAAGTCCGCACAGAGTTCTTGGCTCGGCGCTGGGCCCCACGGGCGGCTCCTCCAGCTCCGCCTGTAGTGCGCTCCGCCTGCCAGGGGGGGTGCAGCGCAGATCCGAGAAATCCGCGCAGACCTCCGACAGCGTATGTTCATATGATTTTTCCCCCTTCTCTGATCCACGTCCGGCTCTCGGCCAATCTGCAGCATCGCCAGCGTCGCGGCGGTCGGGATGCCGACCTCGTTCCGCCGCCGCCGCCCGTCGCCAGCGGCGCCGCTGTAGCCGAGGCCCCCATACCAGTCGTAGTGGCCCCGCGAGTTCTCGTCCAGGTCGGTGTCGCTCAGCAGCGACCCCGACCGGAACGACAGCGTCTCCCCCATCTCGTCCTGGTGGCCGCGGGACAAGGCGTGAGGGTTCAGCCTCGGGGACTCGCCGCCGTCCGAGGAGGTGGCCTCGTCGGGGAGGCGGCAGGGGGGTCTGAGCTGGATAGGCCAAGAGAACATCGGCCAAGAGGGGGGGGATGAGGGCAAATTCGCTCGATATCGATCCCTGCACCCCGCCCAGGGTCGAGAGTGACCAAATTGTCGAGCCGCGTCCAGCCGTGGCGACGAGGGAGGAGGAGGAGGAGGAGGAGGAGGAGGAGGAGGAGGAGGAGGAGGAGGCCCCTTTATCCTGCATTTCTGCTGGCCTGGCCCAATGCTGGGCCACCTCAGCCCCCCCAGGCGGCTCCAAGCCTCGTCGCCGCTCGGGCTGCCCGTCATGTCGGCGGCGCGGTCGCTGCCGATGCTGGCATTGTCGCCCTGCGGCAGCGCGCCGGGGTCCAGGAAGCTGTCGACGGCCGGCTCGAGAAGCCCCGAGGATGGCAGAAGGGGAACAAGTGCATACGGCGGCGGTGGACAAACCTCCCTTGAGTAAACCACCATTTCGCAAAAACGGCCTTGGACGGAAACCGACGGACCTGGGCCCGCAAAAATGACGGCCGCGACGCCCTCTCGCGAGCCGAAAACGGCCCATGCGCTAATCGACGTGTCAGGGTAGGGGGTCTATCAAACCCCGAATGCGGCAGGTTCGGCCGCGGCGTTGGCTTTCGGCCGCGTGGACCGCTCAGCCTCGAACGACATCGGCCACGTTCCACCAGCCAGAACCGTTCCGCATGGGCCGGCGCCTGGCCAGAGGAGGCGTTCAGCCCTGAGCGCACGCGGCGGGGTCGCCGCCGCCTCGACACCGCGCGGGCCTGCCACGAGCATGAACTTATGGAGCTCCGCGCGAGTTTCTTGGACGGGCGCTGGAGCTCCCTGGCGGCGCTCCGCTCACCGAGGCCGCCGCCGCCGCCGCCGCCGTCGCCGTCGCCGTCGCCGTCGTCGTCGTCGTCGTCGTCGTCGTCGTCGTCGTCGTCGTCGTCGTCGTCGTCGTCGGCGGCGGCGGCGGCGGCGGCGGCGGCGGCGGCGGCGGCTGCGGCCGCCGATCCCAAAACTTCGCGCGGGGCTCCGAAGGCTCTTGCTTGCGCCGCGTTTCCCCTTCGGGATGGGCGGGAGGTCTCGAGGGGCGTGCCCGGCGGCTGGCGCTGGGCGCTCTGCCTGTCGGTGACGTCCTCGTACCGCTTGGCGCAGTCGAGGCAGACTCGGCTCAGCTGCTCCTTCGGCCTCAGGGGGCCCAAGCAACTCCACAGGCACCTCGTTGCCGTGCGAGCAGGGCGCCCCGCGGCCGATGGGAGAGGGGGAGGAGGAGCAGGAGGAGTGCGGGTACCCTGGGGGGACGCAAGTCTGTTCCGATGCGCGCCACCGAGCACAGGAATGGGCAGCGGCAAGAGAATCCCTCCATGCCCATCCGTCCCGCTATCGAGTTAGCGCTGCACCAGGGCGTGGGCAGCTGCAAGCGCAGCGGCAGGCGGTAGGAGGAGGAGGCGGAGGAGGAGGAGGAGGAGGAGGAGGAGGGGGAGTAGGAGGAGGAGGAGGAGGAGGAGGAGGAGGAGGAGGAGGAGGAGGAGGAGGCGGAGGAGGAGGAGGAGGAAGAGGGGGAGGAGGAGAGGAGGAGGGGGAGGAGGAGGGAGAGGAGGAGGAGGAGGAAGGGGGAGGAGGAGGGGGAGGTCGGAGCAGGTGCACCGAATAAATGAATCTAGTCTGGTGGCCCCGGCCGGGCCCGCGGACACAAAAACTGAAAGGCCCGCGCGGATTCCTAGGATCGACGCTGGGGCCCCCTGGCGGCGCCTCCCGCGCCGCCCCTGGCGCGCCCCGCGCGCCAGGGAGGGGGTTTCAACGCCGATCCGAGGGATCCCCTCGGATTTCAGAGCTTGTAGACCTATGGCATCGTTTGTCCCCCGAGGCCTGCCGACGAGGTGCCCCTCGACGCGGTGGCACGAGCAGTTGTAGCAGAAGATCTGGCCGCACGAGCGGCAATGGTGCCGGCGGCGGACGACGCTGAACTGCACCTTCGGAGGGGGAAAGAACGGCGCAACATACTATTCTGTGCTCTGCAGCCGTGTTCTTCTCGATTGTCGTGTCCTTCTAAGTACCTGGTCACGTCCACCCAACTTAATCGGAGATGGCAGTTCTCTTTGTCCTCCTCATCCTCCTCCTCCTCCTCTTCCTCCCCCTCCTTTTCCGTCTCATCCTCCTCCTCCTCCACCTCCTCCTCGCCCCCGCCTCCTCCTCCTCGTCGTCGTCCTCCTCCTCCTCCTCCTCCTCCTCCTCCTCCTCCTTCTCTTCCTCATCCACGCCTCCTCCTCCTCCTGCTCCACCAAATCTTGCATCGGAGATGGGCAGAAAGTCGCAGATTTGCACCCGTTGTTTCGGGGTGCATCTTGCACCCCGAAACAACGGGCGAACAAAAAGTTAATGTCATGAGGATTTGTTTTAGTCCTCACTCCTGGCCCCAAAACACCCGCGCGTAATTCACTTCGAAATCCATAGCGAAATTCTCCAGGACACTCCAGGCCCAGCCTGGTGTTGTCCGAAAGAACTCCGCTCTGCGATGTTGGCGCCATGAGGCATCCACGCGCGGAGCCCCCGGCAATGTGTGCTCTTGATGCCCCCGCAGGCCCCCGACGCGACGACTCTTTCGTCACGTCGGCCCCCCGGAAGGCTTGAGCCACTCCCTGGGGCAGGCTTTTCCTCCCGAGTCGCTTCGTGCCAGCCCCGGGGCCCGGCGAGGACACCCAGAGGCCCAACAGTGCCCAAAACCTCCCGCCGTTCTCTTTCCACGACGCGAAGAGACTTCAACATCCGCTCAAAATCAATCCCCGGACCCTGCCTGGGGTCCAAATTCGCTATATTTAAGTCGGGCCTGTTCCCCTGCTGGGGGATTTGGGACGAAAAAGGAAACATACCCCCCAAAAATACCCCCAGATGGTCAAACGATCCTCAAAAAGCCGTCCCCACACCATGTCTGAACTATTTTTTGATATTCCTTCTGTAGATGGACAGGCCCGATTTAACGCTAGATCTTCCCAGCTGCGTCCAGCCGTGGCGGCGGCGACGAGGCGGGCCAGCAGAGGCCACGACGCCTCGAGCCTCGGTGCGCCGTGCTCATGTGTTTCGCGACGCGAGGGGGACTGGCCCTCTCTATTCCCCTGGGCCTCCTCCTCCTCCGCCTCCCCCTCCTCCCCCTCCTCCTCCTCCTCCTCCTCCTCCTCCTCCTCCTCCTCCTCCTCCTCCAACCAAAGGCCACGAAGCCTCGAGCCTCAGTCCGTCGTGCTTCTGTTTCGCGACGCAAGGGGGACTGGCCCTCTCCATCTCCCCCGTGCCTGTCGTAAGCGCAACGCGCAGCCGTATCTGCGGCCTCGCGGGCCTTCCTGTATCCCCTGGGCCTCCTCCTCCTCCTGCTCCTCCTGCTCCTCCTCCTCCTCCTCCTCCTCCTCCTCCTCCTCTTACTCCCCCTCCTCCTCCTCCTCCTCCTCCTCCTCCTCCTCCTCCTCTCCTCCTCCTCCTCCTCCTCCTCCTCCTCCCTCCTCCTCCCCTCCTCCTCCTTCCTCCTCCTCCTCCTCCTCCTCCTCCTCTTCCTCCTCCTCCTCCTCCTCCTCCTCCTCCTCCTCCTTCTCCCTTGCGGCCTCGCGGGCCAGGCCCCTGGGAAGCGACCCCGTGGATGCAGGGCGCTTTCCCCAGGGATTCCCCGCGCGGAACGCACCCGTGCGAGCGCGGATCCGCAAGATCGCGCCCCGGAATACCCACCGCGAGGGCGCAGATGACGGCAGGATCGTGTCGTGACGACCCCGGCGCTGGCTTCTGACACCCCGCGTAACGATCGGCGGCGTGTCGATCGCCAGATCGCTTCATTACGTCGAAGGAGAAGAGTAACAATAACAATAATAATAATAATGATAACAATAATAATAATGATAATAATAATGATATCAATAATAATAATAATAGTAGTACTAATAACAATAACAATACTAGTAATACTAATAATAATAAAACTAATACTACTAATAATAATATTAATAATAATACTAATACTATTAATAATAATAATAATGATAATAATAATAGATACATACCAACAACAATAACAATACCAATAATAATACTACTGCTAATCATACTAATAATACTAATACTACTAATAAAAACAATCATAATAATACTAATACTAATAATACTAATAATAATAATCATAACAATATTAATAATGATAATACTAATAATAAGCATAATAATGATACTAATACCAATAATATTAATACTAAAAATAAAAATAAGAAGAAGAAAAAACAAGAAGAAGAAAACACCACGTAAGCATAAACTTTTGGCGCTCCACGCGGATTCCTTGGACTTGCGCTGGACCCCCTCCCTGGGGCGCGGAGCGCGCCAGGGGCGGCGCCGGAGGCGCCGCCCGGGGGGCCAGCGCGGATCCAGGAAAGCCGCGCGGAGCGCCAACAGTTTATGCTTGTGTGTTGTGTTCTTCTCCCATCCTCCTCCTGCTTCTGCTCCTCCTCCTCCTCCTCCTGCTCCTCCTGCTCCTCCTCCTCCTCCGTCTCCTCCTCCTTCTCCTCCTGCTCCTCCTGCTCCTCCTGCTCCTGCTCCTGCTCCTGCTCCTGCTCCTGCTCCTCCTCCTCCTCCTCCTCCTCCTCCTCCTCCAACAAAGGCCACGAAGCCTCGAGCCTCCGTGGCTGCCTCCGGGGCCACCTGGCGGCGCTCGACCCTCAAAACGCCCGCGGCGGGGCCGTCCGTGCGGGCCCCCACGACGCAAACCTGCCGCACGGCCCGTTGGGCGCCCGAGCTATCCACGGGCAGCTCGGGCCCCAGGCAGCGCGGGCTCGGCTCCCCCCCCAAAAAACGAACCCGCGTCGGCCCCGACCCGAGCTCGAGGAAGAAGAACTATGCTTAAGTCGGGCCGGTCCCCCGACAGGGGGATTTTCGATGTTATATATATATATATATATATATAAAAGCCAAAAACTATTCCCAAAATAGTCTGGGGACTATTTTTGAATAATCTTTGACCTTTTTGGGGTATTTGGGGGGATTCTTATTTTTCGTCGAAAATCCCCTGTAGGGGGGACAGGCCCGACAAAAAACTATGCACATACACCGATTCTGGCCAGGCCCATCCCGAGCCCAGGATCGGTGCATGTGCATAGCTCTCTTCGCCCGACGAGCTATACCCCTGATGCTTCGGGGCTCTGGACGCCCGGAGTCTCTGGGGCAGCTCGGGCCCGGGGCAACTCGGGCTCGGCCCCTCGAACAAAAAAAACGAGCGCGAGTGGGCCCTGACCCGAGATTTACCCCTGAGGATTCAAGGCTCTGAGGACGCCTTCGCCGCTCGTGAGCCCGGAGATCCGACGCCCTGATTTTTTCCATACGGGGTCCCCGGAAGGGTCGACCCCTTC